ACACACACACACACACACACACACACACACACACACACACACACACACACACACACGTACACACGTACACACGCACTCGGCATGCACCAGGTCGTGTTCCAACTTGCATCGATCGTGCTCGCGTCGCTCGAGATTGCGTCTGGATTGTCCAAACCGCGATCCACCGATCCAACAGACTGGTCTAACGAAAAAAAAGTGATCATAGTGGATGGATGTAAGCTGGACGACGGCCTGGTCCATGATTACGAAAAAGTGGTGGCTGCATCGCCGCGCAGACCGCCACAAGCGCAGGTACATTTGATATCGAGAACATTGGGCTGAATTCTGAACAGCATGCTCTGACTGGTGCTTACCAACTGGTCGAAAAACCGCTGGAAAAATTTGGCAAATTTCGCAATGTCTTCTATCTGAAATATTTACAATCGAGGGGACATCCTCAATTTTGTCTGTTCGCGCAATGAAGGTAAATCCTGTGCTTTTACAGAATAGAGACCGATTTCAGAGACCTATCAACCGTAACTGGTGTACAAACGTCGAGAAAACTTATGTCCACGTCATCTGGTCTCTGTCTTAAACGCAGATATAATCTACATCGGTCTATAATCAACCAAGTGTTCAACAGTGGCAAGAGTTCGAGACAAGCGACTTTCCCCCCCTCGAATTTCTCATAAGCTTGTCTTTCTATGGCTGAAAGGATACTCGCGCAACTCTTACGCAACACAACAGTCTCTCTGTTTACTTAAGATTAAACAACTATCGCACAAAATCCGTGGTCACGTGGGTGGTTCGGGCGTCGGTAGCTTCGGCGATTTGGAACACGGCCCGGTGTCACTGTCTGTACACGCCAGCGTTGTTCAGGAGCCACTCACCTGCAGCCCGTTTACACGGCTCCTTCGGCTCCTGCACCTTCTTCTTGGTCGGCATCGTCCTCATCGGCAAGGCGTCGCGCACGGTATCGAGCGGCTTTACGATAACGTCTAGCCGCTCGACCGCCATACCACCCGTCGTTGTCATCGTTGACGTCATCGTCGTCGTTGCCGTCGTCATCGTCATCATCATCATCGTCGTCGCCGTCGACGGCGACGCGACGACAACGTGCCTTGAATCGAGCGCGTCTCCAGGATGTTCCGCGACCGGCAACCCTCGCCCCGAATCCGCCATCGAGGTGCGCTGCTGCTCCTGGAGTAAGCAGGCGCTCGACAACAAGTCCCATTGGCGGAGTTTCTCTCGGTCGAGCTCGAACGACGCCGCGGACATTCGGGCGTCCGATATCGAGCGAGCCGGGGGAAGGTTGCCGTCCTCTAAAAAATGATTCGTCGCGTCGCGTCGCATAGGTTTCCGGTAGGCTTCGTTCCGCTCGTCCCACACGTAACCGCCCGCGCCGACTCGCTCCATCGACAGGGTCTCGTAGGCGACGACGACGTCGTCGTTGCGGTCATCATCGTCCTCGTCATCGTCGCCGTCATGGAGCGACGTTGTTCGTTCCCGCGTGAGATGGTCGCGATCCTTGTTCGTTCGGCGCTTGACTCGCGGTCGCTCGCCGCATGATTCCACCGCACAATTGTCCCTGCGCGGGATGACGCTGTCGTTTACGTAGGTCGCGCCCCGAGTAATTCTGCTGCGTGATTTCGAGTCGCCGGGTCCGCCGCCGCCGCCGGCTCTCGGTGGACTGTCCAGATTGTCCAACGATCGAGCGTTTCGCAGACTCACTCTTCTCAGGCTCTCGCACCACAGAGTGTCCTGCTCCCAAGGATCTTCAACGTGAAAGTTGTTATCGCTGGCGATGGCATGATTGCCAGATAACGCGAGGCTTTGCGTTGGCGTCTCGACCCGACTGACCGAAGCGGCTGAAACCGCCGCCGCCGCCGCCGCCGCCGCCGCCGCAGCCGCTGCCATTGCTGCCGCCGACCGGTTGGCTCGGTTTCGTTGTTCAACTAAGTTCTGCAGACCAACGTCGTCGAGTAATCCCTCCAGAGACCTGGATCTACGATGAGAGGCTTGCGCGAGGTGCGCCATCGACTCGGCGGTATTATCGATACCACCCGGATCAGCGGACTTGTCCCTGAGACCATGGGGATACAAGTTCCTCGCGTTTACTTCCGGCAAGGACACATCCGGCAGAGGATCGGTGGACTTGACGCGACGTAGCGTGTCCGCCTCGTAGAAGTTCCTCTTGTCCACGAGAGCGGCTTTGTTATCGCTCAGTAACTGGCAGGTGGTGCGTCTCAGCTCGGCAGCGATGCGTCTCGCCTCGTCGATGTCGTCGACTTGAATCTGCCGCGGCATTTGCCGCGCGATCGGATTCACTATACGGCCGATATCGTTTCTCTTGTTCAGACCGCTCGCGTCATCTCTCTGATTATTCAACTGGGGTAATCTCGAGGTATGACCGATTGTCGGTTTGGTCAGCTCGGTGTCTACATTATTGACACTGGCCTGGAGATCGGAATAGTAATAAGGTGCACCGGATTGATCGCCGCTCGCCGATACACGTTGCTCGCCGGCGTTCGGTAAATATGACTGCAAAACGGGCTTAATAACAGCACTCTGCGCTGCCGGCAACGGACTCGGATAGTGGCTCGAGTCCTGACTGGACGTGGAGCGATGGTTCGGCGGCATCAGCGTGTGTCGCACGCACTCGTGGCTGGCGGACCGTGAGTGATTTGGAAAGCGCTGCTGCTGCTGCTGCTGCTCGGCATACACGCTCGTAGTGTTACTCTGCTGCAGCTGCATAGTTGCGAGCGCGACACCACCGGTGGCGTGATTCACCGACGACATGGAGCTGACGGGCGAGTGCATGGAGGACAGTGCGCTGGCAGGTCTCTGGCAAGCCATGGAGGTTGAGATAGACGCTGCACCAGACGCGAGCGAGTAACTAGAGTCCCTGCTATGAGAGATTGGCAGTGCACCGCCGCTCTGCGACGCGCTCTGCATTCGGTGGACGTTGTCTCGCGGTGGCTCGCTATCAGATCGAACCGCCGGTGAGCCACGAAGTGGCGAGAAGCTCATGACGTTCTCGTAATGCGCGTCGCCGGTGAAAGATTGCGAGTGCTGATGGGACGGCGGCAGATCGGACACTCTCATGGACGGTAAGCTGCTCGCGGAGCCAGTCTTATTCTTGCAAGAATAATCGAAAGGTCGGTCGAGATTGCTCGACACTAGCTTCATCTTCCTCGACAGATCCTGGCACGTCGTCTTTTGCAGCTTGTCCACCACCAGCATGTTCTCGTTGAATCCGTAAATGCTGTTGTAACTGAGATCCTTCGCGTAGAGATCCACATTGAAGGCGTCTCGAGCCTGCAGTTCCTCCAGGTACTGATCGAGGTCGATGCTCGCGCCGTCGAAGCGACTGCTTAACGACTCATACTCGTCGAGACTGTCGAGAGCCCCGCAGACATCGTCGCTGACGGGTCTTCTCTTCAACTGTCTGTGCCGTGCCTCTTCATCGTGCCTCAACTCGACCGTGTCGCTACCCGACGCACTTTCCAACGACATCCTGCTGTCTCTGAAGGTGGAACTGATGGTCGCGTCGGAGAACCGCGAGGGCGGTCTGTGCGCTTCCACCTGGCCCACCGGGACTTTGTTCCAGGACTTCGGTGAGTCCCGATTCAGCGCGACACTATCCTTTGTCGTGGCCACTTGCGGCGAGACCTTCTTGATCTCCAGCGACTCTTGCATCTCTAAGGAGTCCAGATCGTCCAAGGGCGGCGGAGAGGTCGGTATTGGCGGCGGAGACACCAGCTCGCTGTCCGACGAGTCGTGCAGTTCCGCAATCATGTTGCGGCTGGCGCCTAGGTAGTACGAGGCGGGTCGGAAGGTGTCGGACAGACTGAATCGCGGATGCCGCGGCGCGTCGATCGAATCCAAGTCCTTCGACGATTCGTCGTCCGCGTCGGAACTGTCGGACTTTAGCGCCGTCAAAATATCGGGCAGATCGGCCCGGGGATGCGGCGCGCCGTCGTTGGCGCTACTCTTCCTCGTCGATTTGCCGCCGTTCTCGTCGTCCTCTTTCTCAGACAACTGACTCACCTCCATGTACACCGGCTCCATTTTACTGTCCGACACGCACACGAACTCGTAGTGGGACGTGTCCAGCGTAGAATAATCGCCGGAATCGTGCTTCCCGCAGTCTTCGTTTGGCGCTAACAGCGAGCGATTCATTCCGTTTTGCGCCATCTCCACGTACGAGCTCTCCTCGTGCTCCAGATTGACAAACAGACTCTCCCTTATCTTCGGATTCGGTCGGTCGTCGCTGTTCGGATCCAGTATAGCTTTTCTGGGCGACATGGGAAGATAGTCATCCTCGGTATTGATGTCGTCTTGCTTCGAGATCGAGCTGGTGGGGTCACTGTCGCCGGAGAATTGATCGCCGTGCGTCAGCAAGGACTCAGTGACGCTCGTTCTGTTGCAATTCGCAGAACTTGAGACGATGTCTAGGTCAGTGCCGGACAGTACACATTGCTCGGTCAGACTGTCCTTCGAACCGATCAACTGACTTTGTTTCGGAGCTCCATCGGGGCTTTTTGGACTAGCGGCACCTGTATAGAGGGTATCCGCGGTGAAACATTGCGGGACTTCGTCCCTTTCGTTCCCCTTGTCCTCGGCGAACTCCTCGTTGTCTCTGATGTGTCGGTGATCCATGCTGCTATCATAGCGTAGCGCTTCGCTTTCGCAGTGATCCGCGCGATGCCTCGGCTCTTGCCGCTTCTCGCACTTGGGCCAGTTGGCCTGCTGCGACTTCCGCTCAAAGTCTGCCAAGAGATCTTTCACCGACTTGTTACTGTCGGTTGAGGCTTGCTTGGTGTGTCCTTCCTCGACATTCTTGTATTTGTTCTCAGCCCCCCCGTTCGAATCGCCCAGCGCAAAGCTGCGTATGACGGCCGAAGTCTTGTTCGCGCATTCCAGCTTGGAGACATGAGCCTCAGTCGCTTGCAACGGCGACATCTTCAACGGTTCCTGCATAGACAACACTTCTCTCACTGGACTGGCACCGTCTATGCTCATTTCGAACGAGCGGATTCTGCACTGCACCAGATTCAAAGTCTCCTGCCTCTCGCTTTTCTCGTCCGGCTTCGACGGCGTTGCTGCTTCCTTCGGCTTGATATATTGATACGAGAACTCCTTGATAACTTTACTCTCGTCGATGCCCGGATCCCACTCGTCGTTATCGTCCTTGGCGTCCCACTGCACGTTTTTCTGAACATGCCAGGACTCGTTCGCGCGATAACCGTCCGACCTACCGCTGCTCTCCGTTTTGTTGACGTCAAATTGCTGATCGAAGCCGTAGACGGTCGATGTTTTGAGTATCCCTAGCGGTTTTCTCGGAGTGTTCTTGTGTCTGATCGCGGACTCCTCGAAGGCGGTCTCCGCCGGCTCGGACCGTTGCGATCTAGACTGCTTGTCCGCCGGCAGTGCGGACGCGTACGCGTAGTCGTTTCTCATCGGCGGCGGCGGCGGCGGGAAGCTGACCTCGTCGTAACCCGCGTCTGGCGGTATGCCGCCCAGAGAGGACAGCGCGGCAGGCGCGCCTCCTCCTGGGTTCGCTTTGCAGCGAGCGTTAAGCTGCGCCTGCGACTGGCCTTGCGGCTGATTAACGCTCGTGCGGCCGGATAACGTGACGTCCTGGACGGCCGACGTTGCCGATGGCCGATCGTCGGCGGCGTGTCGGGGGCTCCTTCCTGCATGCGAAGGTCTGCGCGTACGCTTCCTCCGGACATCTCCCAGCTCTGATTCGTTCGTTACAAAACACAAAGACACGAGTATGTCCGTTACTTACGAGTACGTGTGCGTTGAGTAAATAAATGAAAGAAGAGGATAAAGAGAGTGTGAAAAGAAACAGACCACTTCTTGTGTTCTTCCCAATTCAACCGCGTTCAACCCCATGTACATCCATAGTATTTTCTATCCGCATAACCCCCACAAGCCAACTCGCCAAGCGCGATCACGAAGATCGGAGATCATTGCACCCCGGTCGACAGAGAGCCGCGGTATAACGCTCGTCTGTGTCAACATTCAGAGAAATCTGAGTCTGCGGCAAGTCATTTGTGTAAAGAGCCTCGATCTTATACATCTCGACGACTTGTCAGATTCGAAGAGTCAAAAGAGAGAGTCAAAGTCGAATGAACACGCCGAAATAAAAACACGTCGAACGAGAATAAAGAGTTGGCACGTCGTCGCACGATCCAGTCGTGCCGATCGATCGTCGTGCAATGATCCCGATAATCGATCGAGTGATGTCGTATATAGTTAATAGTCGTATGTAGCGGACATACGAGCTGGAAGGTAGAGAAACCGGCGATCGTAATTGCGCAGCTACGGGCAGCTAGTGTTAGTGAGATTGTTTGACATGCCATGCTGACCCACATCTCCTACGGGTGGGATCCGGACCGCGATCCGGTGTTAAGTGTAGGCGCTGCGGATGCTCGGTTTTAAGATTGTTAATCGGTTTCCCATTCACCAGTCAGCCCAGACCCAACAGCAGCAGCAGATAGAAGGAGCCCCCCGCTCGGAGAAACGCTCGCAGATATCCATGATTTTGAATTTCCTCTCCTCGTCGTTTGGTCGTTACACACGCCACCTCGTCGAGCTCGTCCCGGCGAGGGGAGTTCTCTCCACGACGATTGTTATTAGTAAATGGTTCACGAACAAAACGATCGACAAAGGACAAAGCAACTTCCGACTTGCAACATTCGCAAATCGCGCGAGCAGTTCAGCCGCCTCGCATTAATTGCACATTAGACGCGCGATGCACACTCGACGGTATATCTTTGTTAGACTACGATGTATATCTTCTTACGACTCGAGGTTAATCGAGATGCAATTGCGGCGTGCTGGTATAATTTGTGGTATCCAAAGAAATCGATCGGCATGATCGCACTCGAATGAGGAGAATGTCGCGGCTGCGCGATATACACGATATAACAAACACCATTCACAAGGCACAAGGCTCTCGACGTGCGTGAGAAAAATGCTTGCGTCTCCGCGAGCGATTATGCACATTGGACACGCATCACCGTGTGTGTTAGCGATTAAAACGCGATCGTGTTAGAATCGGGATCACCTCTAGCTCAGCACAACTATCTACTGGTAAAAACCGAACAAGTCGCAGACACGGCGTTCGCGAGGGACTCGCGGTACAATCAGACGAGCTCGGCGAGCTCTTGACAATCGCGTATGATTCGCGGAGAATTATCCTCCGCGATAAAATGTCTTCTCGTGAATTTTTTTCAAATGCTTAAATTCGTGCGTCCCGATGCGTTCAAGTTCTCGCTCTCAGGTAAAAATCGCACGCGACTTTCACAATATTTTCTACCGGGTCCCTCGTTACGCGCAGCACAGGCCACGACGAAACCACAATTTAAATGATCAGTTCAGGCGAGCTGTCCCTACCTTCGTCATCGCTGGAATAGCTGTTGTAGCGTGGCACGTTGGCGGCGCTCCGCCGACCGTCCGAGCTCTTGCTCCTGACGTGCGAGCGATGCCCGTCCTCCCTCCTCCGAGAGTGACGACCCTCCGCCACGGCGGCTTCGTGCGCTGCCAAATCCAGCAGCGCCTGTTGCTTGTAGTAACTCGAAAGATCATTCTGCGCCCTGCCCCGGTTAGCCGAGCCGGACGGTTTTCGCGTTAACGGAGACTGCAGCATGCGCTGCTTCCACTCCAGCAGCCGCTTCATCGACTCTTCGCGCTGAAAGGCGAACAGTAACGCGGATTTTCATTGACGGACCTCGCGGAAAGAATTGCCGCCGTTCTCCTACACGCTTAGGCAATATCGAGCGCGCGCGCGCGCGCGCGTGAGAGAATCTGATACGACGTGAGCAACGCGATAGTCAGGCGATCGATCGTATGAGTGACGGAGAAAGCAACGACACTGGACAGCCACGGTGACGTAGGATGCGACTACGCAACAGAGCCGACGTCGTGATTCATACTGGACGAGCGATGTTACCGAAGCGATTGTCTTAGGCAAGATAATACCGACGACGTTAACGATCACGGCGTTTCGAACAGGTTGTCTCATGACTCATCCTGGATCTACCGAGGTATAAAACCGGAGCGTTTAAATTTGAAGCAGCCGTCGAAACTACTCCATGTGTCTATCGCATCGCGGAACTTATTCCAATATCGTTCCAAAAGTGGGATAACACTGGAGTAGGTTGCACAAAATTGACCGTGCATTTCGTTTATGTATTTATTGCGAGAAACGGTGAAGATGGAATGGCAAAGTATCGGTTTTAAAACACAGCTACTTGCTCACGAATTTTATCGAAGCCGAGAAAAACAGTTGCATCGAGACAAACAGAGGAAAATCGGACTCAAAAGCAGCCGGATAAATTTTTTAGCGTTTTGAAAATTTATATTTCAATATTCCCTATCGTGAGCGAATGAACTTGACGTGTTATTAGTTGGATTTACTCATTCTCTCTCTCTCTCTCTCTCTCTCTCTCTCTCTCTCTCTCTCTCTCTGTCTCTGCAGCTGTGATTTTGCGTGATAAAAGCAATTCAAGCGCGACAATTAGTCGTGTGAGAAATTCTAACGTGAAAAAAAATGAAAAAGTTAACTTGCCCGATCACGATTTCCTCAGCACGAACGCGAATTAGCATGCGGCCGCGACGGATATCCGACGATTTCACTTGTTCAACGAAAGGGGTATCAATTCTCTCTCACCTGCTGAATCTTGCGCTCGCCATCCCGCGAGTCCTGCTCGGAGGACCTCTCCGCGTAGTCGTCGTCGTCCGGATCGAGGACGGCGGGATGCCGCGTCCTCGGTAGACGCGCCGATGCCGATCTACAGAACTGCTGCTGCTCGCCCCATCGCCTGCCGCCGCCGCCGCCACCTGCGTAACCGGCGTGACACGTCTGAGAGATGTGAGTGCCATGGCCACCGTGGCCCCCTGTTCTTCCCCACCCGTCGTACTCGCGCGGCAACACTCTTCGCGGCACTGTGTTGTCCTCGCCGTGCGTCAGTGTCTCGCGGCCGTTCGCCTCGCAGCTCTTCTCGCGCAGAGACCTCCGCAGCTTCGGATCGGCGCCGATCATCCTAGTGGAAATGAACGCTCAGGCATGTCGCTCCGAGAGAGCGCAACGTGCTTACTCCGTACCGAACTTTCTGCGCGGATCTCTCTCTCTCTCGCCAAATCGGAAAGAATCTCGATTCTGTCGCCGAATGTAAGAGAGATCGCAAAATTGGAAAGTCAGTCCTCCAATCTCCCGATACAGGGGAAAACATTCCAACACTTTGCTTGTTTTCGACACTCTCTCGCGCGAATTCGATTTGAATATTATTTAAATATTTAAATTTGTAAAATAAATAATATAAATATATAATAAAACATAAAATAATATAACATAAACACAAAGTAAACAAATAATAGTTGATAAGTATTTAATTATATATTATATGTGAGTAATTGATAAATCTCCCTTATATACTTTAATATTTGATAAAAACTGAGCGAGAGTGTGGAAAACTGACGAGTGCCGGCTGCTCGACCGGCTTTCCTTGCTTATCTTGCGCGAACTTAACGCCACGAAACCATTGTGTATCTCCAAAAACACGTAAAAATTACGACGGGGATAGCTGACGTTAACTGTGGGAACGTGACGCAACGATCCCACTTTAGACAGCATCTCGAAATTACACAGCGATGGAATTTCAAAGAGGACTCGAGTTCCCGGTTTCCCTAATCGTTTATTCCAACAATGTACTGTGACTCACTCGGAATGTCTCTGCGTCAGCGACTGAGTAAGCATCGTGTGTTGCTGATGAACGTGATCCCGTTGCGAGCGCCTCGATGCAGGACAGGACGAGTCCGGCAATGTGGACACTCTACTTTCGTCGGGTTTGTCGCGTATACCTGGCAGTTTTGGCTGCATCGTGACGCGCGACAGGGACTGATTTCTCTGCTGCTGGTAATGCTGTGGGGTCAGATAGACCGCGGACTGCCGCATCTGCGCCGCGTACCTGAGCGCAAACGTAAGCGGAGAATGCAGAGCGCGAAGAAGGCTTGTTGATGTTTCGAGAGACCGTTTATCCTCACTTTGTTCGTTTCTCTCTATTAACCTTCTATTATCTCGAGATTCGCGCGCGAAGAAAACGAGGAGAAGATCGACGCGTTAACACGCACGAGTCTTTTACCTTTCCTCGGAGTAGAAGTAACCGTCGTTGGTCGTGTCCGAAGGATTCACTATGTCTAAGCTAGATTTAGGCCTCTGGGGACGTCTCTGCTGATTCGGGGGCTTCTCGCATTGTGCGGGTTGTTGCTGGGGTCTCCTCGCCGCCTCGTACTCGAGAAAGTCCGCGCTATGCGGCCGCGGCGGCGGTTGAGCTCTGGATTGTCTCACCATCGACACTGAAGAAAGTAAATCGAACTCTTTGTATCGTCGCGTCTCGGCTCTCGGATTACAACGTTATCCAATGTTCTTTGTGACACGAGGAAAGAGGAAAGCTTAGGAATCTTAGGGAGGGGAGAAAGAACATCGGCAAAGAGAGGATCGAGTGATCGCACGAACGATATAGCTCGTTATAACTTTTACCATCGCGGTAATTATTAAGATATAATGCTGAAAGCCGTCAACAACAAGGGCGCGAAAAAGAGAGCGAGAGAATCGTCGAGGTGCTCGTCGTTATTTCTCGGCGACGACGCGGAAACATGCCTGCGCGGAAGCCGAACCCGACAATACATTACGAGATTGCCAGCGTACAATTCCCTGGGCGCGTATCCTCAACGGTCCGAGACGAGAAATCCCGCTCGGAGGTAGTCCGGCAAGGAGGACATTGCGCTGCCGAACGAGCGTGGTTGCGTAAAATATCTCCGCGCTCACCCCGCAGGGGACGTAGTACAAGGACACGGTAGTTCGCCGCGCTAATTGCGAGAGCTTTCGCGAAAATCGGCGCGGAGAAAACAGAGGATAAGGAGAAGAAATAAGAGGAAAAACTTACCGTTCGGTGGCGCGACGGGCGAGTGCAGTTGCTGCTGCTGCTGCTGCTGCTGCTGCTGCTGTTGCTGCGCGTACAGGGGGATGGGGATGGGCGCCGGCGAGGCGCCCTTCGAGTAACCCACCGGTCCCGCGGGCCTTTGATAGAGCTGCGGGGTGCCGTATACCTCTTCGTAGTCGCCGTTGCCTCTGCCGCTTCTGGGTTTCGCGCTGCGACCGTACGTGTCCGGGGTCCTCCTCTCGGTCTGTTGCGCCTGACCGTAACCGTAATTCAGGCCGGACTTGTCCGTGCGCAGACTCTGCTGCGACGGCTGATTGATCCGCGCGCCGTAGATCGCATTGCGACCGCTCTCGTAGTCGGACATCGGGCTCTTGCTGGTCACCGTGACGTCCGGCGAGACAGGACTCTTCCGGTAATCCGGATCCGGCGACGGTGTCGAGTACTCGTTGGAACCGTCGGTCAGTCGCCTGGGCTTCGGCGGCGCGTTCGCGTAGATGGGCTGGCCGAACTTGCGAGACATGGGCTGTACCGTCTGCACGCCGGCCGTGCCAACGACGTGCTGCGATTGCTGTTGCTGCAATTGTTGCTGCGGCTGCGGCGCTTGTTGGACCACGTGCTTGTGCGGATGCGACGTTTGCGGATGAGTGCTCGGTAGCGCGTTCTGATGCGGCAGGTGTTGGTGCAGCAGCGCCTGATGCTGGTGCGAGTGACCCGGCTGGAGTTGCTGCGACGGCAGCAAGTGGCCGTACTGCTGCTGGTGATGCTGCTGTTGCTGTTGCTGCGCTGACGGCTGCGAGGTGCCAGGCTGACCGTACTGCTGCGGCGACTGCTGTATCCAACCGTTCATCGTCGGATGCGACGACTCGCTCGTGTGATTGTGGCTGGCGGAATTGCCGTTGCTGTTGCTGCCGCTCAAGTTCGGGAAGGAGGCAGTGTTCGCGCTGTTCGGGCTGGAATTGTTGTTGGACGCGTGGCTGGGGTCGTCGCGCGATTGGAAGCCGTGGAAACCCGAGTCACTGTCGTCGGCGCTTTGATTCAGGATGGATGAAATCGACGAAACGCTGGGCCTGGCGCTCCGCTCGCCGTCCTGTTGCCCGGCTATTTCTATGACCACCGCGGCTTCGCCTGCGCCACTATAGGAGATGCGTCACGATCAAAACGACAGTCGCGATACACGCACATATATAGGCTATCCGATTGATAGCACCGAAAAGGGAGTGATTCTTTGTGAGAAGATAACTAAAAAAAGTGGAATAACATGATTTTCATACTTTGTTTTGGAGTAACTAATTCCTAGATTATAACTAGCGCATACGAAAGGGTAGTGAATCACTGCAGAATGTCCATCTATTCCTCGGTTACAAAATCCTGTGGTAATTTTCATTCTAAATTCCCCTCTTCAAAGTTATCTCCTTTTTTCTTGCTTTAAAAACCAAGTTTCAAAGTCGCATCAAAAATGTTATTCTCAGCTAATTACTTCACGTGGAGTCACTTTTTTTCGGGTGGCGTGTGACCGGTCCAGTGGCATCTGGTGTACACGCGTCATTCTCTCGAATTGCGACGATTTAAAAACCGACGATTTTTCACACGTTGAGCGAATCGTTGTCGTGTCAACTGTAGCAGCAGTGGTACATTCTCGCGCGATCGCCGATAAAAAATAAATCAGCAGTAATAAAATTTAACCTGCCACCACCGCTGGGGATGTTGTAATGTATGCGCCGATCCGATTCGAAGATTGGATATCCGTTCCATACATACCATTAGTAAAATTAGCCGTTGCTCGACACGTTGAATATGTATGAGCGGCTCATTTTTAATATCCCCCCTCCGCGCACTTTGGTCTCGCGCGTTTACTGTTGAATTTGAATTTATCGCCGTTCGCGTCGGGACTCGATCGCCTCGAAAATCCCCCTCCTTACCGCGGAATTAATTCTCGCCGTTGTTCCGCCAAAGCGCGCTACTGAAAAACCACGCTTCGACCGCGTTTTCTTTCTTCTTCCTTTTTCCGTTTTTCTTTTTCTCCTTTTCTGTTTTCCGCGCAAATCGAGCTTCGGCTAGGAAATAGACGACGGGCGCGCTCGCAAAACGAGCGAGCCATTGTCCGTTGCCGCGCTAGTCAGTGTGTCGCTGACAACGCGCTAATGGATAACGGGCGACGAGCACGACGGGTTACTCCGCGCGAGCATTTCGCAGGAGTAACTCTCGGGGGAAGAACTATCTAACGAGACGAGCAGGTGGATAGCTATAGCGCGAAAACGACCGCGCCGTTTCGCGCGGTACTTTCGCAATAAACTTTCGACCTCCAATCGCTGGTCCAATTGCCTCCGTGATGCATCAAAGAGGACATTCGTCGGCGCCACGTCGAACTAATTCCAGCCTCTCTGGCCGCGTTTCGACCAACGTCTCGGAGTGATGTCGCATTAAGCGACATTGACTCTCTTCCGCGGGAAGGAGGGAATGTCTCGTCATTTCTGCAAGGATGTCCCAGTCGAAATTTAGCCCTACTTTGGGTCTGAACTTTCTAGCGTTCGTTAGACAGCGTCTCTAAAGCGAAAAGCGCACGAAATGTCACCGGTAGGTTCTAAAGAGAAACCTATTATTAAAGATAAAGCTGAGGAGTTAAATAGAATCAAAAGAGATTGATGTTTCAGAGTATCAAAACAAATATTAAATGGATTATTGAAGTCAAAAGTAGAATCAAAGTTTCGGGTGAAGTCGAGCTCTTGGCTTTCTTATCTCAGCTGGATCACGGCACGTCTCGCGATACAAATCGCAGGACGACGGGGGGCTGGTGCGAAATTTTCATAATATTCAAACGCGCCGGAGTTCATGAATTTTGCTCGGCCGGGAACATACGTGAGGAATACGCGAGGTAAGATCGCGCGAGCCTGAAATTTCGCGAGGGACGAACAAGAGCGCAGTCGTGTTGCGCGAGGTAAAACGAAACTGCAGACGAGCAGGGGAAAATAGCTGGGAGAGCGTGACAATCGGAGACCGTCGAGCTGACCGAAGGAACATGAGGTTAAAATGTTCGAGAGTCGAGTGGCAGTAACCCGAGAGCGATTATCGCGCAAAATGGAAAAACAATAACGGCGCCACGTGTCGATCCCCTGTGTTTAGCTGCGCGTCCTCTCTTGTTCATTTATTCAATTCGCGTAATTGCTAAAGCAAACGCCGTAGCAAACGCCGAGCGAAAGGAAGCTTCTCGTTTTGCCGGAACAAACCTGTGATTGTTAACAGCTGGAAAATTGCGCGCTTTCCGTGTCGATTCGCCGCTCAAATTGATCTATTTTATCTTTAATTAATAACGAACCGAAATGTGTGTGTTCCCTCTCGATGAATTCTACTGTCACCTCCGCCCTTTTAGGTTACACGGAGAAAACATTAGGGATATCACTTAGCTAAATGTGATTACTGCGACAAAATATTCATGTAATTTTTCGCTCAAACGTGATGAAAAAGTGGAGATAAGGAACCTGTTGAAAAGCCCGCAGGGAAGTTACCCGAGGGCTGCTAGAGAAGTCACACCGACGGAGCCGTTGGTTCTTTGTATATACCCTCTGGATCTGACCGTCATCGAGGCGGCTTGTATTACAGCATACAGACTAAAGTGTCGAGAAGACTGGAGGGGCAGGCTGGGATATATAAGGTTTAAATGGTTGTATACTTATCCTTTCACCTTAGACAGAATCCTAAAGAAGTACCAGATACGCAAAGGATTTTAAAGCACTTGTATGAATAAGACAGGATTGGCTGAAGCTAGACTAAATAACCAATTCCAACATAAACTACTGGTTTACAGATGGCTCGGTTGAAATAATCATTTCAAAGCAGGAATATACGGACCTGGTAAAGACTACAGAGAGAGAGAGTATCTTGGCCACAGTACTCCAAGCAGGAGTACTGGCTATTCTAAGATGTGCAGAACTTCTTATCTCCAGAGGGACAGATAATAGGAAGATCTTTATCTGCACTGACAGCAGAGTCATATCAGCGCTAGTCAAGACCATTACTGAATCAACATTGGTTTGGGATTTTATGACTGCGCTTGAAAGGCTGAGCAATTGCACCAAGGTTATCCTGATATTGGTAACAAAATAATAACTACGTATACTGTACAATTAAATACATCATATGCATTCTCTCTATAATATAAACATATAAACTATATGTATTAATGTAATAGGATATATTAATTGAACATTATGCATCAAAAACTGCGGCTGTGAGCGCTATACAGGGTGTTCGGAAAGTACCGGGACGCCCGAATATCAGGAAAAATATAAGTTTTACAAAAAAATGTTTCAGACAAAAGTTGTGGCGTTTAAAAAGATGTATTTACTGATCACATCAGTTTGACCTTGGGTTGCGTAGCGAAGGTCAGGTCAAGGTCACATTAATTTTTTTAAATGGAACACCCCATTTTTCATTGCATATTCTTATAGCACATCTCGAGAGCTTTCCAAAACGCTATAATAAAATATTTTTTCGTTAAGAACTTTTCGAGTAATAACACTTGAAATTTCCAGCACTTTGACATAGAATACAAAATATCTCGTAAAATATTCTTCTTTCGGTTATCTTGTCTTAATGCTTTTTTGCACAGAATAATGAGACAAATTAATTGGCTTAAAAAAAGCACAAAAAGATTTTTATATATTTATGTAAAAAATTTTTTTTTTTTTTTTTTTAAGCTAATTAATTTGTCTCATTATTCTGCGCAAAAAAGCATTAAGACAAGATAACCGAAAGATGAATATTTTACGAGATATTTTGTATTCTATGTCAAAGTGCTGGAAATTTCAAGTGTTATTACTCGAAAAGTTCTTAACGAAAAAATATTTTATTATAGTGTTTTGAAAAGCTCTCGAGATGTGCTATAAGAATATGCAATGAAAAATGGGGTGTTCCATTTAAAAAAATTAATGTGACCTTAACCTGACCTTCGCTACGCAACCCAAGGTCAAACTGATGTGATCAGTAAATACATCTTTTTAAACGCCACAACTTTTGTCTGAAACATTTTTTTGTAAAGCTTATATTTTTCCTGATATTCGGGCGTCCCGGTACTTTCCGAACACCCTGTATAGATGAGCATGTAACAACAGCAAATTTTAACGCGACATCCATTTAACTTGAATTCGCACGAATTTTTCTTTCTAACCATAGAGAACGTGGCAATCATAACAATTTTCTCCGTGTACACTTTCTGGGCTTGGTGCGCGTAATGTCGCGTGATTACCGCGTATCGCACAAGTATCGCAAATTAATTTTAGGACACAAATAATTTCAGGACGTTAGGTTCAGTACTCACGGGCTAGGATCCTGCAGAAGAGTCGCCAGAGTCAACGCGTTCACCCACTGATTCATGCTCTCGCGACTGTCAGCCGCGAAGTGATAAGTCCTCATGTTCGCGTGTTCGGCCTTGAAGGCGAACTTCTTGTTGACTTTGTCCTCGGGCTTGCACACGGTAACTCTGTACGAAGGTAGTAATATCGAACCTAGCAGTTTCTCCTCTTCCGGACCTGCAAATGAGCAAATTGTCACGTCACACGAGACGGGAATGAACGCGTCCTTCGATTTTCGCGCGCAAGAGAGATAGCATTAATTTTACAGCAAAATTTTCGCACAATTCGCCGCGCGGATCCTTCGTTCCCGGTTCCTACATCTCGACGCGCTTCGCAAAACAGCGCGTCGCAAATACGCGACCATAAATACGCGCATTTTCGTCCGACCGACGGTCGGGAATGAATAAAAATTGCGATAACGCGCCGCTAATAATAGACGGGACGCTGAAATATTCACTCAAACAACAAACTTAAATACATTATTCATTGCCGTGATTGCGATGCGCTCCTTTCTGATACCGAAAATGTTTTTACTCCGCTGATGCGATCCGATGCATGAGTCTGCGCACCTGCGTGCGTTTTAAACGTCCCCGCGGGAGCAGAACAAAATTCGCGAATTCGTACCGTGCGATTGCGATAACATTAATTTCAAAGGGTCGCTCTCGCACGAGAGAGATGGCGGACAAAATGCGGCTCGGTCACACAAGCGCGATCCATCCATGTGTGTATAATCACGAAAGGTCGGCGATCGAATCGAATTCACTCCTTTTCTCTCTCTCTCTCTCACTCACTCTCGCGTTGCGTTTCGGAGAAGACGGAATTTCCGTCCAAATGAATTCCAAGCTACGAACGATCCGAAGAATGCTGGAGCAACGTATCGACGTGAGAAACGACGCTCCACCGGAATGGAATCTCGATTAACTAAGCCCGCAAAGTTGTTTGTTACTATCATTATTATTATTGTAGTGTCCACCGCCGGATCGATATCGAAACTATTGACAATAGAGTGACTATAGTTACGTGTGGACAGTGATTGTTCCTTGTGTCCTCAGGATACTTTCTATAGTTTTGACCAGGATTTTGATTGCTATATTTCCTCATATTTAAGCTTAGACTTTTGGAGAGCTTCGCTGAGAATGGTTATGTCCGAATAAATATCGCCATTTAGCCATACTCCTTTCTTGGAATCTAATCGATTTCGCAAAATAATTATGGATTCTGGGTTAGAAGAGTGATATGCCAAACAATCTAAATGAGAAACCTAAAAACTCTCCAACACTTTATCCACATTAAAATTGAGTATTGAAACGTAGATTGTTTTTATAATAAATAACTTCATTATTCAATGAAAAATTGAAAGTGTTTTAAAATTTTGTTAGTTATTTTTTACTGTATTGAATACGATATAAATGGGATACGATGAGGTATAGAAATAGGAATCCCGATTGGTATCGTAGTGAAGTAAACAACTCTCGGACACATTTAGGCATTTGAATTGGAATCTATGCTGAGCTTGGAAAAATCGTGTGCAATTTCTGGGCGGATAAAAATTCTGGATTGCGGCTTTTCTAGTTTGCGAATGAATGAAATGAGGAGACGCGGATTAAGAAATTAACAGAACGTTTCATCGTCGGTTCGCACGATCACTCGCAACGTGGTCGTTCAGCACGCGGGCGCGGCTCTTTGATAACTGTTTGATGACTCGTTGTGTCCTCGGAATACATATTCATTTGCTACTCGTCGTGAATACGCAAACGTCTCGGTCGATGTTAGTCGGTATCGATATCGGTGCGCGGTCGCAACACTTTATTTCACTGGCTAGCAGCAACGTACGAAATGTCGCTTGCCAAAAATTTCATCCATCGCACAGGTGAGCTCGTCTGCGAGTGAGGAATTATCTTTCGCGTAACCGACTATACGATTTCAAATAGATTTGAATTGAAGCGAATTCGCAAAAATGAGAAAAATTCAATTTTATAGAGAAAATATACATTCTAGTAGAAGTAGTTGCTGAAGGTCTGCGTTATTTTATCCGAAAGATTGTTAATAATGTAATATCCGAAAACAAGATTGCAGGGCGTGCGACATTTATGATATTTTGTGCGTGGTTTATTTCGAATATATTTTACTTTAAACTATTTTACTATTTTAAACACCACGATAATAATGTAAGGAAAACAGTAAATATATTCTCAAGTAAAAGTAAGGAAAACAGTAAATATATTCTCAGCGGATGTTTCTCAACGTGCAAATCGATTGCCAATCTCCAGCACATTAAAGGAAGCTAAGTTGTGAGCTTCATTCAGAAACTGAGTCGACGCCGGAAGAAGAGTTCGGTTTCATCGAGCGTCAGTGCTTTTTGCGGACGCGAGAATACTCGAAGAGGCT